CAACAACAGGACAACCCGACGCCGAGAGGTGCCAGATGTTATACATACATAGGCAGATACATCTATATATATATATATATATATATACATATATATACACATATAATTATATATGTGGATAGAAAGATATATAGATAGATAGATAGATAGATAGATAGATAGATAGAAAAATTGTCCAAATAGGCTTGCCCTATTAGGAGTCCTAGTCATCAGAAGTGGTCTTTAGGACCCCCCACCCCCTTTTCCAATGGCACCCCCACTTTTTTCCAATGGCACCCCCCCATATGTCTAATGGCACCCCCCTCCCCCCCCCCCTTTTCCAATGGCACCCCCCCCCCCCAATTTTCAATAGCACCCCCCAGCAATTTCCAATGGCGAGTCCTTGTTCTTGCGTGCTTGCGTGCTTCCTCTTGCTTTCCTTGCCCTTGCTTGCGTGCTCTTGCGCGCTTGCTCTCGCTTGCTTGCTCTTGCTTGCCCTTGCTTGCTTGCACTTGATCGCTGGCTCTTGCTTGCTTGTTATTGCTCGCTTGCGCTTGCTTGCTTCCGCTTGCTTGCTTGCGTTTGCTTGAGTTTGCTCCTCCCGTCCTCCTCCCATCCTGCTCCCGTCCTCCGTTCGTCCCCCTCCCATCCTCCTCTTGTCCTCCCCCTGTCCTCCTATCTTTTTGGAGAACACGCTGGTTGATACATATATATATATATAGATGTATATATATATATAGATATAACAATATATAGATAGGAAGATATATATATATATATATATATATATATATATATCGGATCGGATCGGACCCCTCGGAGGCAGCAGTACGGATGTCTCTGACGCTGAGTGCCTCTAGGGTCGGGCTACACCCGAAAATAAACCACACGGTCACACACTGACAGGAAACGAAACGCAGGTCTTAGCGCCTGCTCGTTCCTACAAGTCTCATGATGGCATCCATCGTCCTTGAATCGCCACCTGTGCTTTGTCTAGCAGCAGTGGGAGGAAAAGACGAGCCACGGGAATTGTATGTAGAAGTAGTGCGAGCTGGCGGTGGGACGGAAGGCCTGCGGGGCCTCTTAGGAGGAGGAGGAGGAAGAGGAGGCTCAGAGGACGAAGGAGGGGGTTCAGGGGCGCTGGGCAGGCTAGGCTCAGGGTCCTCAGAGCGGCTCTGCTTTCCAGCCTGGGCAAGGGTGCGGGCGTGTGCTAACAGCGAGGCTGTCCACATCTCAGTACGGGTACGCGAAGGGGTAGCGCTCGTAAGTGTGCGACGTGGGCTTCCCATGCCCTGAACCACTGCTGAGGGCGCACTCGTGGATGCAATATGTGGGCAGTCCATGCCCTGAACGACTGCAGTAGAGGTGGGCACACTCTGCGATGCCTGAGGTGGGCCTCCCATGCCCTGAACTGTAGGCGTAGAAGTCGGCGCACTCTGTGATGCAAGAGGTGGGCTCTCCAGGCCCTGAACAATTGAAGTAGGCGCACTCTGTGAGGCAAAAGGTGGGCTCTCCAGGCCCTGAACAACTGATGGCGCAGGCGCACTCTGTGATGCAGAAGGTGGGCACCCCATGCCCTGAACTGCTAGCGTCGAAGGAGGCGCGTTCGTAGATGCGTGTGGCGGGCTCTCCATGCCCTGAACAGTTGGCGTAGGAGTTGGCGCATGCCCAGAAGCAGGCGAGAAGCTCCCCTTGCCTGTCGTCACAATATTCTTCGGAATACAAGGGTCCCATTGCGCACAGCTATGCCTTGCCCAGTTGAAGGCGTAGAAATCTATCCCATGGTCACGTCCTCTAACTGCGTCAGCTTCGTGTGAAGGATCCTCTCCATGTGCACCATCGATCCTTGGCCTGGCTTGCAGATCGCTCCCGTCTGGATGAGTGATTCATGAATCACACTGGGGTCGACGTCGCTCCTGGCGTTGATGCTGATCTGAAGCTTGCACTGCGCGGCGTCGTGCGTGTCGCTGGCCTTCACGAGCGGGGCGAGCTCGACGACCTGCCTGATGTCCATGGTATTCAGCTTCTCGCCCAGCGCTGTCAGGTTCTGCTGGTCGAGGCCGCCGACGGACGCGCCTTCCTGATGGAGACCTTCGAGCAGACCTGCGAAGGCTGCGGTGCTGATCGTGCCGATCTTCGCCATCTCCGCATCGATATGTGGTGCTGTCGTCGTACTTCGTATCTCCTCGGCTCTTTTTACCCATGCGCGAACACGAGCTCGGATCGCCACGACGCTTTTCGTGCCAGGTGAGACGAGGTACGTCTTGATCAGTATGGCGTCGGTCTGGCGCTGCCTCATCGCCACGTTGAGTAGTAGCTTCATGACAATGGGGAACATGCGCTGAATATCTTTCAGTTCCATCTCCTCCAGGTCGAGCGACTGCAGGTCCACCAGCTTGGACTTCGACCCACTCTGTTGGTTTCCACGGCCGGTGGGCTGGCGGCGTCGGGACTTGTGAGCAGGCTGTGCCGCTTCTGCCGCGGCTGCGCCTGCGGGCTCTCCAGCGTTGGGCAGTGAGCTCATCCACGACATGAGGGCGAGGTTCGGGGAGGTGTTCTGTCGCAATGTGAGCTTGCAGCTCGTCAAGGGTAGCGAAGGTGAGCTCGCAGACGTCACTTGGGCAAAACAGCTGCGGAGGGTCGTTCACCTCGAAGTTGTAAACAGAGCGGTGTTTTTAGCATCGCCCAGAACGATAAGCAGCAGCAAGATGATTGATCGCTGTCTGTCGGCTCGCAAAGGTCGATCGGCAGTTAGGGCATTGGTTCGTAATCGTGAATCTCGTATGTTCGCATATTCGGCCGTGCTCGCCCCCCTCCCCACTCATCGTTTGGTGTACTCGGAGCGCTTGTTTTGTTTCGGTCGTGAACAGGCATAACGCTCCATCCGCACATAGAAGGCCACACGTATGGGGGCTACTCATCTGGAGCACTGCGGGGCGGTGGGACGGGCTGTGCAATCCACCACTTTCGTCACGTGCAATCGTTAGCTTGATAAACACGTCTCGACCAGGTGTCGGTCGAAAAATGTCGAGCAGATCGTCGCCAATGGCGTCTAGGCATGCTCGTCCGTCTGCAAATACATTCAGCAACTTCATGTCATCAAATAAACTGCTTGCGCCAAGGATTGGTCATATGTGTGGGGCCGATACCATCTGGGGAGCCACGAGCGTTGTATGTAGAGGCTGTGTGCACAAGGGGCCCAGGGGAAGTCCAACGTCGTCGTGGACTCGCAGAGTAGTTTGCCAAAAACACAGGCTCGTAGTTGAGCGTGATGGTCAGGTTCGCGCGCAACTCGTTGCCATCGCTTGATGCGCACGATCTGTATGTCCAGGGAAGGCGGTACCATCTTCAATGTTTCCCATACAGCATGAGATGAGATATGGCGGACAACTTCGGTGGTGCCAGAGGTGGCGTCGTCGTCGGCGGACTGTTTGATACGTGCGGTACCTTGAAGTAGGGCTCGAGCGTAACGAGCTACACAGGCGTCTACCTGATCGAGTTGTGCTTTTGTCAGTACACGTGCTTCGAGTCCAGAGGTAGCGGCCGATAATACCTGACTTCTGAAAACCATTTTGCGACGTCTCAGATATCGGCAATTCTTCCAGAAACGTCCCATACTCCGCCATCCGCGAGCCGCTGCGACACACCGTTCCTTAACCTCGGCGTGGTTGCGACCGTCAGCCTGCATGGTGGAGCCTAAGAACAGGGTCGAGAAATGTACTTCGCCGTCAACTGGTATCTTGCGATAATGCAGGGCGCGCGCGCATCTGTGAGCGCCCGTGCCGACGAACGTCGGTAGAAGAGCCTTTTCCCCCGCATTCTGCTGCAGTCCGATGGTGCGCAGCTTGTCGTTCAGTATCTGGTCGGACTGTTGAACTTTGTAGGCCGCCATCTGCGCATCGTGACACATGTGGGTATTGGCGAGGTCGTCGGCGTACATGCGAACGCTGAGGTCGACGTTGGCGCCAGTGAACTCGCACCCCGCAACCATCGATGTACTGGTGTCGGTAGTAAGTGCATCATTCCATTCGGGAATGGGCTGCATGAAGGCCACGCGGAACTTGATCGCAGCGTCGGCATCTCCCATGAAGCAACCTACGGTATTCTGGTATCCATGAGTGTCAATCCCGTCGCTAATCACACATGCTGCTCGACGATGCCTGCCTTTCATGATCGTACAGTCGCCAGGGGGATATATCTTGCCCACGGCGTCGTCGAGGTGGGAATGATTCACTGAAGCGAAAGCGTTCGTCATGTCGTGCTTCGTGGTGATGTGGCTTCGTTGCTGCTTGGTAAGGCGCCACTGCAGTGCTAATCCGACTGTAATCGCTGCTGAGCGTCATCGTGCACGCGCGTAGCCGTGCTCAGTACCATGCAATGGTGTGGATGTGAGTGGCTGTCTTGAAGCAACCCATGTCTTTCCGAACGTGCATAATCCATGTAGTAATCGAGTGCCTCGAGTACGTGGTTTATTGTTCATCTTGCTTACTTGATAAGTCTGAGAGGGGTTCCACCAAGCATTGAGCCGTTGGTGTTGACGAACCGCAGCAAGTTGGGTGAGAATCGCATCGCCGAGGAGGGGGGGCAGGGAAGATCATCGCGTGGTCGTACTCACGGCTGCCGTCTTCTTTACGTTCATCACTTCTATCGACGAGCAAAAGAGACCAGATCTCTGCGGGTAGCAACCATTCGGGAGCAGCTCGTCGGCGTTTGCAATGCTTCCGTATCTGGCGTTTGATCGCATCGAAGTCGCACTGGGCGTGTCTCCACTGATGTGCAGAAGGGCAGAAACGCTCGTCGTTCGACGCAGCGGTGTCGATGAAGTGATCGATATCAATCGGTGCCGCCTCCATTCCTCCTTCCGCGCCAGGAAGTGCCATATCTTCAGTCCATGTTTTAACTGAGGGGCGAGCGTCGGGGAGATCGAAGTAGCAACGTTTGCCAGGGCCCTTTCCATTGCCTGCAAGGCGTCGACGAGCTCGCCAAACCTCTGCTTCCAGCCCTGCCTCATCAGCTTGTTGTAGTTCGCGAAAGTGCTGTTCATCTCGGAGGTCACGTAATCGACGCCAAAGTTTTTTGCAGGCAGCGCTGCAACGGTGAAGAGCGAGCGTGTCCTCTAGGTCGTCTGTTAAAGTCTGCCGAGCATGTGTGCGTGCGTGTAGGGCTTGACGACGTTGCTCTGCTAGCTGCTGGTACTCTAGCTCGATCGTGGACTTCCTTGCATCAAAATATTCCAGAGCTCGTGTGCGTATCTTAGATACCAATAATTGCCATCCAGATTCCATCGTGCGTCTTTCAGCCCAGTCTGCCATATTACGGTAGCCGTTCTCATTGAGGTAGTTAGACAGGTCAGACTCAATGTCGTCGCGTAGCTGCTTCGCCCATTCATAGAATCGTTCATCTTTCCAGGCCAAGAATATGCGTGTGTAGTCCCACTGCGGCGTTGTCTGTGGTTTGTCGTAAGTTAGGGTGCAGTCCACGTCGATGTACAGCACCATGTGATCCAGTAGTCGTTGAGACGGAAATGCTCGGAGTCGTTTGGTCAGGCGGTAAGCAATGTTATGGCAACGTACTCGCGGTAGATAGCGCATCGGCATCACCAGGTAATCGATATAGCTCGAGTGCCCTCGTAGGCCGTGATAAGTAGGGCCGCACGGGTAGTGCGTGTTCGACGCGCATAGGCCGTAGTCCTTCAGAAACGTGTGGAAAGCTTCGCCCGCGTAGTGCTGCTGACCGTATGCATGGACACCTACGGTGGCGTCGTCGTCCTCTGCCGAGTGGGTGCGCGCGAGGCTGTCGTTCAGGTCGGTGCCGATGAACACGCAAGTACGGTTCGGCAAGTTCGAGACGATGTCATGCAGATAGCTGAGCATTTTGTCGATGATGATTTCATTCTTGGAGGCAGTGGCGATGCGCTGCGATCTCGGAGGGAAGTATGCTGTGATGAAAGTGAAGTCGAACAGCGCGCTCTTCACGCGCGTAGCGCCTACACGGCCGCGGAGAGCGGGTGGAGGCTGCCAGATCTTGACTATGTGTGTCTTCCGAAACCATCGTCTGCTCAGCCAGATCTCAGTGCCGCATGATTTGTTGCCTGTCGTGTTCTTATTACTGCGATGCCATCCAAGTTTCAGCATGAGAAACTCCGCTGTCGAGTGCGTCTCGTAGGAGGACGTGGTCTTGGTCTGCGTTCCAGAGAGGAGGACGGCATCTATGTGTTCGAGCTCCTTAGAAATCTCCAGGCGTTTGTCGTAATCTTGCAGAGACATCGGATTCCAAGAAATGAGACGCATGTAGACTGTCAGTGTGTGCCATAGAAGCCCGACTTTCAAGACAGTGGGCATATCGTCCACGCTCTGGCGATCTCCGAACAACTCGAGCCAGAGCTGTAGATAGATATATAGCTAGATAGATAGATATATAGATAGATAGATAGACAAATAAAAAAAAACTAAAGATAAAGATAAAGATAAAGATAAAGATAAAGGTAAAGATAGAGATAAAGATATATATATATATGTGTGGATAGAGAGATGTATACATATATAGATATACGAATAGAGAGAGCTTGGCATATGTATATATATATGTGTGCACATATGGATAGACGGGGGTAGATAGAGCTGTACCAATACAACGAGTACCTATCTACAAAGAAAACTGATCCGGCTAGATCTTGTTCCTGCTGGGGGGCCGCTGGATCCCGAGCGCGCCTGGAGGGCCCAAGACGGCTCTTGATGGCGTCCAAAGGGCCGCAAGCTGGGCCAATACGGCTTCAAGACGCCCACGATGGCCCGAAGACAATCCTAGAGGCCCCCTTTTCGCCCCAAGACACCCCAAGAGGCCTCCCAAGGGAGCCCCAAGAGGCCAAAATCGCCAAATTGCTTTCGTAAAACGTCCATATCCAGCATCAACAACTTCTCGCCTTCCCGACTCTCCAAGACGGCCCAAGACGCCCCCCAGATCGCCCCAAGACAGCCCAAGAGGTACTCAAAAGGCCCCCACGATGACCCAGAGGGCCCCAATACGGCCCAAGAGGCGCCCAAGACGGCCCAAAACGGCTCCCCAGAGGCACCAAGGACCCCCACAGAGATCCCCAACAGGCCCCAGCTCCCCAGGAGGCCGGAAAACGGCCCCAAGAGACGCCAAAACAGCCCCCAAGAGGGATCAACGCTGCTTCCGAAAAGCACACTGCAAGCCTCTTGGGCCCCCTGGGTTAGTACGGCGACGGTCAGAGAATCCATACATGTATAAAATAAATATATGGATCGATAGATATATACATAGATAGATAGATAGATAGATAGATATATAGATAGACAGACAGATAGACAGACAGACAGACAGACAGACAGACAGACAGACAGACAGATGGATATTTATATATACATATATATACATATGCACATATACACAGACATGCCGACCTACATACATAAATGTCGCGGAACTCCAGCGAGGCCAACGACTGTCCAGGGAGAAGATCGGTGTGACCCTCTAAAGGACCCACCCTGCAGGTTCAGTTAACAGCGCATCGTTGAGTGGTGCTGCAGCCTCCCCTGAGCACAGGCCCCCCTGAAGCAGCAGCCAGACAAGTCGGGTTTGCACCCTCATGCCTTGCTGGACTCTAAGCACGTTTCGGCACTGGCACAGCCGCCGCCACCCCCTCGTCAGGGCCACCTATTCGGGCGACGCCGACGTTATAAATACATCCACATGAGTATCTCACCTTATCTGTATATATCCACATATATACACACACATACATACATGTACATATGTACGCACTGATGGAGAGAGAGAGAGAGAGAGAGCGAGAGAGAGCGAGAGAGAAAACATAAAACAAGAGCGAGGCGAGTCGAGAGAGGAAAAAAACAAAAATACACAACAGCAAAACAACTATACACACATAGTACATGACTGACCTCGAAACTGAAGCAAATGTAACAGATATGCCGTCCAGAGGGCCCTGGTAAACGGAGGGGTGGGGAGGAGGAAGAGGAGAGGGGAAGTAGGAGGAGGAGGAGCAGGAGGAGGAGCAAAACGAGGGAAAGGGGAGACAGGCAGAGAGGGAGGGGCGGAGGGGGAAGAAGAAGAGCCAGAACGCTGACACCGAGACAGACCTCGGCGCCAGAAGCCCTGCGGGCCCCTGCCACACCAACCCCCCGCGGAGGGCAGGCCTGTTGTCCACGCAAGCCACCAGCTGCGGCACGTCGCGCCACGGCGCCACGCACCAGGCCTCGACGCGGGCTGGCGCGGCCCAAGGATGGGCAGGGGGCAGAAACAAGGGAAAGGCGACACCACCACCACCACCACCACCAGCGCGAAGCGCCAGGGAGGGTCCTCCTGGTGGTGTGGCCATACCCCCTCGCTCGAGACGTCCCCTAATCCCAAGCTTGGGGAGCAATCGTGGACCCCGTCGCTGGACATGGCCCCCCTGGGTGGTGGTAGTGGTGGGGGTGATGATGGTGGCATCGCCTCTCCTTCCTCCGAAGGGGGAGGTGGATCGAGGGTCGAGCCCAGGATCGAGGACGAACAAGGATCGCGGCTACTGTCCGAAGCGGGACCAAGGCCACTATCGGGGACCAGTGCGGCCCAAGATGAGTCAATCGGATCGAATCGCACTGTGCGTCGGACCAGGCTGCCTCGGCACGCAGCCGAAGCCGAACTGGAATGAGTGTCGCAGCTGGCTGCATCTGCATGGAACCGGAACCGAATCGAACCGTCCGCGCCAGGATGCACAGCAGCGCCATGCGAGCACTGGGCCGCGTCTAGGGGAACATAACGGCACCTACTACCCAGACATCCCCCGGGGCACGTCCTGACCAGAATTACGTGGCGCATCCAGCCGCGGCGACGAGGGCCTCCTGGGAGCCCAAAAAAGCGAAAACGAGGCAAGTGTGGTGGAGCTGGAATTCTGGCATCGAGCCAGATCGGACCCGCCGGACGGCGGCGGAGGCGGCGATGGCCCGCCCGCGCGCGCGCGCGGAGAGAGAGACTCGCGCGCCTCCAGGCGGGCCCCGAGGTCCACACGGCGGCGCAGCTGCTGCGAGGCCACGCGCGAGGGGCCCTCCTTGGCCGCGGGCGCCGCCTGCGGCGTCGGCGACGGCGACGACGACGCCGGCAGACAGACGGACAGACTCCGCCTCCTCCTCCTCCTCCTCCTCCTCCTCCTCCTCCTCCTCCTCCTCCTCCTCCTCCTCCTGTTTCAGCAGTTTCACCAACAACACGGATCCCGCAGTGCAAGACCCGCGGCAAAAAGGAAGATAGGGTCGAGGGCAGTGCGCTGCACCAGGCCAGCGCCGAGGACCTTACCTCCCGCGCTGGAGCAAAATACTCCGACCGAACACTGCCCTCGAGCTGGGGTCCTTGCCTGCGAGGAGCAATGCGAGGGACTTCTCAGCCCCCGCATTGCGGAGGTGCTGATTGCACCTGTCTTTCAAGTAACGTGAGCGGACAACCCCGAACGCCGCGCTTCTTCGACCCCACACCACCGCCCCCGAAGGTCCAGAGCCCATCCAGAGAACGTGTGACGGGTGCGCCGTCGCAGCAATTGCGGGGATGCCAGGGCAGGGGATGGCCGCCAGTGCACCTCTGGACCTGCCCCTGCCTCCACAACACTCACAGACAAAACTCTGACCTTCTCTACAGATCGTGTGTCCGTTGGGGTTGGCGACTAATTTGAGCTGAAGGGTATCACGGGGGGCCTTCAGAGCCTTGCCACTGCCCTTGCAGCGCTCGACATCCTTGAGGCCCCCCCGAGACAGCTCTCCCAACATCAACCCAAGAAACTGACCTACCTGCTTAATTCCTTCCATCCTGAAGCTCTGCCAGCTGCGGAGCAGACCGGCCTGCTCTTGCAGTAGGGTCCCTTGATTCGCAAGACGATCGGCCTCCTGGTTGCCTTTCCGCGCGTAGAATGGGTACCCATGGGCAGACGCCTGGCTCCAGGACAGATGAGCCTTGATCTAAAAAGCTGGATCTGGCTCCAGCCAATATCTCGAGCTTTGGCCAAGACTTTCTCCCAAACCTCAGCAAGCGCCAAACGCGACACATCCTGGTCTGGGCCAAAGCTCCAAATGTCAATCAGCACCTTACAATCCGTCCAAACTTCAAGAGGCCCACCGTCCGCATTGAGCAGGGCCATGTACAGCGCCCAAAGCTCTCCCCCGAGACAAGTCTGCAGGGGGTGCGGAAGGGGGCCGTACATGCAACCTAGGATATGGCCAGTCGGAGTCACTGAAGCCGCGGACCAACCAGCAAGAGAGCACCACGGTAGAGTTGGGTCAAGAGCCGAGCCGTCCAAGCAGATCACGTCGACCAACTGGCCAGACCTCGGGAAAACATGCCACCTCCACGGCTCCTGCACCAGGGGCCCTGGAGAAAACCTAATAGGGGACGCCATGAGGCCTCTAGTGTAGAACAGGCGCCACTCAGCCGAAACCGCACGGGCACCAGCTCGGACCAAACGATCGAACCCCATATTCTGCCTAAACCCGTGCGTGGCAGGGCAAAGGTAAAACCTATGCTGCTTAGAGCCCCACGGGTGCCCGCACAGCTTACACTCTGTCGAGATCGAACGGCGGTCCAGGAAGAGGCGATTCCCAAGTGAATCGTTAGGAAATCCAAAGCGTGGGCGAGGTTCCTGGACGTCGGGGGCGCGGCGTTGAATAAATCGCGAGGAAGTCCCGCGCGAGAGCGCGAGTCCTGTAAGAAATGCGATGCGAGGAATTCCCGCGCGAGAGCGCGATTGTAAACTGTGCTATGATAACTATGAAGATGTATCAGGCCGGAGTCGCTGTTGTTGTAAACCTGGGTCCCACAACACAGCGCGGTGACCCTGGACTGCCCCTTGTAAGAAACAAGGTGCGAGCCCCAGGAGGAGCTATTTAATCGAAAAGCACAGGTCATCGAAGGGGAGATCAGCAATAAGTATTGCTTAAACTGAAAACTCAAAAACCATTTCAAGACTGTTCGCTCCTATCTGCTCGCGTGCAATTTAACGCGTATATCCCAAACCCTCGGTACCCGCACTCACATTTAACAAACGGTGCAGCAGCTGTCACAGGAACGCTTTCAAAAAACAGCCTCAAGATGGCAGCCAGCGCTCACTCTAAAAAGAACAGCCCTGAGGCCCCCAGCACGCCCCCCAAGTCAAAGCATCGAGCACCAGCAAAGCAGCGAGGTGATATACCACTCCAGGGTAACAGGAAGGAGCGATATTCCACGGAAGTGCTTAGCGATGTCTCTGGCGACGGGTTTCTTAGCAAAAAAACGCAATGACAATAGAATTCTAGGCCGCCACGGAACCTCCCCCAGAACATAATCCGCCGCCCCCTTGGGGTCACGGCGTGTGAGATGCTTCTCCCTCCCCAAACCCCTCCCCTGGGAGCCCGGTCCGGCCGGTTTGGAGGGGGGGGGGGGGCAAAGGTATCGACCGGACCCGTGGAGCTTCAGGGGGCCCCAAAACGGGCCAAGAGGGCCCCAAAAAGTCCCCAGGACGGTCCAGGAGGGCTACGAATCGCCGCAAGATCGCTCCAAGACGCCCAAGATCGCCTCCAGACAGTCCCAGAGGCTCCCAAGACGCCCCAAGAAGCCACCAAGAGGCGTCCCAACAGGTCCTCTAGAAGCAAAAATCGTCCCATGTCCCGAAGGATAACGTACACTATTAGCACATTCGCCTCTTGGGCTTTCACGAGGCCCACAACGGCCCAAGAAGCCTTTAAGATCGACCCCAGATAGCCCAAGAGGCCCCCAAGAAGGCTCCAAGACGGCCCAAGAGGGCCCCAAGACGGCCCCAGAAGCTTCCAAAACGACCGGACCTTGACTCACTGTGAAAGCCTGGAACCAAAATGGATATGCTTTGCAGGAAGAGGGAGGAAGAGGAGGGAGGAGGAAGGAGGACGAGGACGATAAGCAGCAGCAGCTGGACTGGAAGGAGCGCGAATAGCAGGATGAACAAGGATGAACAAGGATTCGGATCATGAAGAGTGGCCCGCGCTGGGGCGAGAGCGCCATGTTGAACATCGGGATCAAAGCGTCAATCAAAAAATGAAACCCGCGTTGCAGCGGGAGCACCACTCAACAAAAACCAACAACCAAAAAAACTAAAACAATCGGATTACAAAAACAACTACGTTTGATTGATTGTGAAAAAACGCTGGCACGGCCGGCCATATTGCAGACGGAATCAGGGGAGAGAGGAGAGTAGCATTCGGAAGTGAGGGGGCGAGATCGATATGGAACGGAGAGCCCCTCTACCGGGAAATCGGTTTCGGTTTCGTGTTCGTGCGTGCCGTGCGTGCGGGCGAGGCGAAGCTGCGTGGGCGGGCAAGAAGAAAGTCTCCTCCGGCTGAGGCGCGGCCGGACCAAATGATTCCTTTCCGGGGGCCGGTGGCCCGCGGTGTCCCGCCAGTGTCCCGCCTCCGGTTGAGGCGCGGCCGGACCAAATGATTCCTTTCCGGGGGCCGGTGGCCCGCGGTGTCCCGCCCGTGTCCCGCTGGAGTCCCGTCGGTGTCCCGATGATGATGGTGATGATAATGATGATAATGATGTCGATGATGTTCATGATGATGATGATGATGATGATGATGATGATGATGATGATGATGATGATGATGACGATGGTGATGGTGATGATGATGATGATGATGATGATGGTGTCCGGATGATGATGATGATGATGATGATGATGATGATGATGATGATGATGATGATGACAATGTTGATGATAATGCTGATGGCGGTGATGATGGCCATGGTGGTGATAATGATGGTGTCCCGGGGATGATAATGTTGGCGATGCTGATGTTGCTGATGAGGATTAAACTAATATCCCAACGACGAAGATGATGATGCTGATGATCCTGATGATGTTGGCGATGATGAAATGATGAAATGATGATGATGATGATGATACTGGTGACGATGATGAAGATGATGATGGTGTCCCGATGATGATGGTGATGGTGAGGTTGATGATGATGCTGTTGATGATGAAAAGGGTGATGATGATGGTGTCACGATGATGATGATGATGACGATGATGGTGTCCCACTGATGATGATGTTGGCGATGAGGATGATGATGAAGTGATGATGATGAGTTTGATAATGGTCGCCCAATGATGAAGATGTTGATGTTGATGATGATGATGATGCCACGATGATGATGGTGTTGATGATGATGGTGACGATGATGGTGGTGTCCCGATGATGATGATGATGATAATGATGTTGCTGATGATGATGATGGTGACTCGATGATGATGAGGATGATGTTGATGATGTTGTTCATGAGGATGATGATGATGATGTTGAGATGATGATGCTGGTGATAGTGGCGTTCCGATGATGATGATGATGATGATGATGATGATGATGATGATGATGGTGTCCCGTTGATGATGATGTTGATGGTGATGATGGTGGCGATGATGGTGTCCCGATGATGGTGATGATGATGATGGTGATGATGATGATGATGGTGAAGTGATGATGTTGATGGTGTCCTGATGATGATGATTATGATGATGATGACGTTGATGACGACGATGTTGATGATGATGGTGATGACGTGGATTGTGAGATCGATTGTGAAATCGAGAGTGAGATCGGTTGCGAAATCGATAGTCGGATCGATTGTGAGATCGATCGAATGAAATAGATCGTGTGAAATCGATCAAGTGAGATCGATCGAGCGAGACCGGCAGTGAGATCGATAGTGAGATCGATAGTGGGACCGATCGAGTGAGACGTTGGTTCCTCCCCCCCGAACCTCCTTATCACCCGAAGGGTGGTCGTATAGGTATGTATATGATATGTGTATATATATATATATATATATATATGCAAGGGGCAACGGCTAGATCCGGACGCCAGACCAAGCATCGGCGCCCGAAATGCAACCCGGCCCAAGGATCCGCTGCAAGCGTGTAGCGAATGCGGCGAATTCCCCCTCATCACCACACCATCATCGTCACCACTATCACCAACATCACCATCAGAAGCAGCATCGCCATCATCGTCGCCTTCACTGTCATCATCACCACCACCATTACCACAGTCATTCTCATCAGCATCGCCATTATCGTCATCAAGATCAGCAGCACCATCAGCATCATCATCGTCATTAGCATCACGGTCATCACCGTCACCATCACCATATTCATCATCATCGTCATCGTCACCATCATCATAATCACCATCACCAGCATCACCATCATCATTATCATCATCATCGTTTCGGTTCCTCCGGGCCTGTATTGCCTGGAACAGGTCGCCGCCGTGCACTGCGAGGTTCATGATGGTGTTGTACACGTGCGTGGCAGTTTCCCCGCCTATGCCCACGTAGACGCCGCCTGTCCTTCGACACCCACGCGACCAAAAATCATCCTCATGCAACGCCTTCCCCTCGAACGCCAGGTGTCCCTCGTACGCTGGCGACATCGGCGACGGGCAGTCTGTGGGCCTCTTCAGCTTGTATGTGGCGTTCAACTTCGGCCCCACCCGTGGCGACTCCTACTTGCGGCACTGGGCGGCCCACTTCAGGCGGCGGCTCCCACGGAAGCGGCTCCCACGACGGCTGCTCCCACGGCGGCGGCTCCCCATGCGGCGGCTCTCACGGAAGCGGCTACCAAGGAGGCGGCCCCCACGGCGGCGGTTCCCAAGCCGGCGGCTCTCTCGGAGGCGGCGCCCACGGCGGCGGTTCCCACACAGGCGTTCCCACCACGGCGGTTCCCACGGCGGCCCCCTGGGCGGCGGCTCCCACGGCGGCGGTTCCCACGCCGGCGGTTCCCTCGGAGGCGGTTCCCACGGCGGCGGCTCCCACGCAGGCGGTCCCCGCCAGGGCGGTTCCCACGGCGGCGCCTCCCACGGCGGCGGCTCCAACGGAGGCGGTTCCCACGGCTGCGGTTCCTACGTAGGCGGCTCCTTCGCGCGGCGGCCCCCACGCAGGCGGCTCCTACGCACCGAGGGGCGGCTACTACTGCGGCAGTTACCGCGCGTCGGATCCTACGCCGCTGTGGCTCCCACGCGCGGCGAATCCGACGCTGGCGAAGCGCAGCGAGACCATGGACCCACAGAACGACGACCAGAAGGCGCTCGACCAAGCGGAGAGAACGGCGGTTTCCTCAGGCTGTGGTGCCCTCGCGGCGGTCCCACCCGTTGGGCGATGGCGTCACTGGGCCATCATCGCTTCGGTTCCTCCGGGCCTGTAGTGTCTGGGAGGTCGCCCCTGTCTCCCTCGCAGGTTGCGCGACAGGCGGCGGGATGCAGCAACACTCGCCGCAGCGCACTGCGAGGTCCATGCTGGTGCTGCACACCAGCGTGGTCGGTTCCCTGCATGTGCCCACGTAGACGTTGATTGAACTTCGACACCCACGCGACCATACATCAGAATCCTCCTCTTCATCCTCCGCTTCTTATTATTAGTATGTTGATCCTCATGTGTATGACCATTATTGGTAGTATAAATATTAGTAAAATTATTCTTATAGCTTACTAGTACGGCTTATTACTATTACGAGTATCAATAGTAATCGTAGTCTTACTGTTATTCTGAGACTCATTAGTGTTCGTATTCGTTTTGTTATAACCCGTTTACTGTGAGAATGATTCGTGTTCGTCTGATTTTTATGACTCGTATATTTATTGTGATCAGTATTATTCGTCGTGGTATTATTGTACTTAACGATCCTCTAAGTATTCTTCGTAGTAGCATTCTCAATTGGTTTCTCATTATTATGGTCTAGTATGTTCTCCTTCTCTGTATTACTAGTTCTGGCATTGGTATTGATTTTATTAATATTGTAATCCGTATCAGTACTATTAGTATCCCTAATAGATGTGTATAACTTTGCTTCTTCTCCTTAGTGATAATATTCGTAGTATTACTCTTGTTATATTTAGTAGTATTACTAGACTTCTTCTTCGTATGTCTATGGCTTGTATTATTGGTGTTAGATGTCTTACCACTGAAATGTTACTCGCTATTGTTTAATATTCGTATTAATCTCAGAATGTTACTCGTTATTGTTTAGTATTAGTATTATTGTTATTCGCAGTGTCATTACAAATAGAAATGTTACGACTAGCAGGAGTCTTATTGTTTGCTCTTCCTCCTCCTTCTCCTCCTCCCACTCGTCGGAGTCGTGGGCCAGCCCTCCTCCGGGAAGAGGTTGGGCAATTATAGCTATCATGTTTGATTGGCCATAGGCCGTGCAGTGGAGGGTATGGACGCGAGTGTTGCAAAGCATAGGCGTGGTAGTAGGCGCATCTGAATAGGTGTTGCATCCATGGGAGTACTGGGGATTGGCACGTGGCAGCGAATTGTGCTTCACAGTCGCGAGGCGGCCCTCCTCCCGGAAGAGGCCAGGCAGTTGTAAACCATCCTGCTTCACAGCCGTGGGGGGGACCTTACTCGTGCATTCCAGGTTACATCCCACTTGAATTAGCATTGCATGTCATACTATTTGCACCACGCAGGATAGCACGATTTATGTTGCAGATGATTCAGTGCCTTCTGATGTTTGAGTTGGAATTGGACTTGAACACAGCATGCTACCATTGTTAAAGCAAGAAGCGGTTGAAGAAGGGGCGGGTACCGCCACGGTTGCGTGCCTCCATCGGATAGGGTATCGCGTATCGAGTGAATGATCATCCAGAGCGATCGTGCGCATAGCGCTCGTACAGCGTAGGTACACCACTGCTGCGAGGCTTCTTGGTTGGTTAGAGCATGCAGACGGTGTTGAAAATGTCGGGGGGATTACGTCATGAGGCTGCACTTTACAAAATGGGGTCCCCCCTGCTCAAATGGGGGGGGGCAACTTTGTTAACATCTAGCGTGGCCGAAAACGGTCCCCCAGCGTTGCGTTAGAGTAGGTTATCGAAGGGGGGCAACTTTGTTAACATCTGGCTTGGTAGGTTATCGAGAGGGGGGCAACTTTGTCAACATCTGGCTTGGCCGAAAACAGTCCCCCAGCGTTGCGTTTGAGTAGGTGAGCTCCGAAACAGTTATCCCACGAAGCGGGATAAAGCATGTGCAGCCTCATTTAGGAATGAGAGCGTCGCGATGGGGGTACGGGAGTTCTTGTGAAGAGTGTTCCGTAGCTGCTCGGTTCCCTCCTCCTCCCCTTCGCCCTTTCATGAAGCTCCTCTTCCTGCCAGCCCTCTCTTCAACTCGGTCAGCCGTGCCAATCCTCCTATTCCTCCTCCTCCTCCTTCTGGCCCCGTCCCTCAGTCACGTCGTGGAGGAGTAGTCAGGAAGGTTCACGCTTTGACATGTTGATAGCTCGCAGACCATAGTAGGCCGTAACAGGCCTGGGGCTTGTGCAGTAGAACGCTGGGCCATAGGTGGCCGTATCAAGCACGGGGGTGGGGGCTTAGCGGCCACCGTACAAAGGGCCAGCGTGTAGGCCATGGGTGGCCATAGGCCGTGCAGTGGAGGGTATGGACGCGAGTGTTGCAAAGCATAGGCGTGGTAGCAGGCGCATCTTCATAGGTGTTGCATCCATTGGAGTACGGGG